CTGTCTTTTTTCTTATATATTGTCAATCGGGCATGTCTGTTGAACTATTAATTAGTGCTAATTCTCGAACGGAAGAATATTATATATATATATGATCATGGCTTGTCAACAAAAAAATTAGTGGAAATCTTCAAGAAAAAAAACAAACATGATTTTGAATTTCTCGGTGCACCGCCATGTGATAGAAGAACTGGGGTTGCTAACATTATTTTATAATGTTAAAACTAAGAATATTGTAATTAAAGAATATTAATTTTGGTGGTCTCGTGTTCGAGCCCTGGGAATGCAGCAGTGTTAAAAACTCTTGAGGGGTCTCGTGTTCGGGCGATGGCTACTACATTGTGCGAGTTCAAGTGGTTGCGGGGACTATTATCTACTCTTGGTGTCGCTCACTCTCAGCCTATGCGGTTGCACTGTGACAGTCAATATGCACTGCATATTGCGGCGAATCCAGTTTTTCATGAGCGGACTAAGCACATTGAGGTGGATTGCCACTTTGTTCGAGATGTTGTTCTTCAGGGCCTCATTTCTACTACTCATGTTCCTTCTGGGGAACAGCTCGATGACATCTTCACCAAGGCACTTGGGAAGCGCGAATATGATTTCTTTCTTGGCAAGTTGGGCATTCGGAATCCGCATGCTCCAACTTGAGGGGGGGTGTTATTGTGTATATTTGTGTAATTACTATATTAGCCTTAGGTTCTCTTTAGGTAACTGTAGCCCTAATTTTGTGTATATATATTCATGGTTAATAGAATATTGAATCATCCGATTGAGATGATTTTTTTCAAAACTTTGTATCGTCTCTCCCGTATCAAGCTTTGCCGCCCTTGTGGTCCTACCCGGCTCGATTCCGGATTAGTCGGTTCCCCTGTGAATCCGGAAACCGGAAGGTCCCTGTACCAAAAAAAAAAGAATATTAATTTTGCAAATGAATTAAAGAATTGATGTGAAAAAAAGTACTGAAACACTAAATACCGTCCCCTTTTAATATTTACCGCCCCAAAAGTCAAAAATACCCCTCCCCCAAATCTCTCTCTCTTCTCTTCTCTCTCTCTTCTCTTCTCTTTCTCTCTCTCGATTTTCGCTCCGGAAAAATTCTGAAAAAATGTCGGCACCACCACGACGCGGAGGCAAGAGATACTTCGTTCGATCGGTCGGTTGGATTCCATTTTACGAACTGGTTCCAATGAACCGACCAGAATTGGTTGATTGAACGGATCAGTTATATACATATTATTTGTTTAAATAAGTTAATAGATATTTATATACTTTTTTAGTATAAAAATATAAATTTAAATATATATATAATAAAAAATATTTAAAATTATATTATTATTATATTATATAATTTAGTTTTTATTTCGAAGTGAAAGGATAAAAAATTTACTTGCAATACAATGGTTTCTATATTTCAAATATTTTTTTATCAAATAATAAATATATTTAGAAAATAATTATTTAATTTTATTATAATTATGGTGGTTGATAAAAAAAAAATAAAAATATAACTGTAGAGGAGTTAATAAAATTTTATAGAATTATATAAAAGTAACAATAATATTAACTACTATTGTCTTGAAAACTAGGCCAAACTAGCTATTGAATAAAAAATCGGTCAACTTAACAATTGGATTCCTTTGAACGAACTGGTTTCCAATGAATCAGTCAGGATTGGTTGATCAGATTGGTCAATTATTTTTTACAGTGTTCACAACCATTTTATCACCTTAGACGATTTTTTTTTTCTTTCAACAATGTTCACTACCATTGTTGATAACATTTTCTCTTGTTATCCATTAGTATAACAAATTAATTTTTTTGTCGATCTTGATTTTATATAAATATTTTATAACAAATAATTTTATCTATTCGTACCAACTTTAAATAATTTTATATGGTTAACTCATTTGTTTCTTATCGCGCGCGCGACAAATTAGACTTTTTATTTTTTCTTGACTAATCACCACTAACTAGTAATAGCAACAACTAAGGGTTGATTTCACGAATAGTTTTTATCAAATCTAGATTTTTTAATTAACCATCACTTTCAATAATTTTTATCCTATTTTTACATCGAAATAACTTTAAATTATTTTATTTTAAACTTAAATTCTCACTAACTACTTAATCATACCATATTTTTTTTTTCAAAATTAATTATGATTACAAATTGAATTCACATCCCATCACACCCTAACTAAGTCTAAAAAGTAATGAATAATGTGGCGGAAGAAACTTAAATTGTGCCCAACTTTAAAATATGATAAACAAATGAGACATATTGTTTAGTATATTTTTGGGCATGTGGTAACCGAGGTACCCGACTCGGGTCGTTCTCAAAGGAAGGCTCTTCGGAGCTTCGTTCACTATCTAGTCGTCAAAGTCACACAAC